CAACAATTATCTTCTAGCCGCCATCAATAAATAAATTAGATGCATGAAATTATCAAATAAGATCATCTTACATTATTGATATAGATGTCGCTGTGTGTCATCATCATCCATGATGTCACTTAACTCGACACCAATGTTAAAATATGTCATCACTAATAACATCGATATCTATATCACCAATAAAGCTGATGTATGCCATCAACATTAATAGTTATGTCCATTTAATCAATAAGATCATCAGACTCATAATTGTTACCAACATCAATGCTTGTCATTAATATCAATGCAAATACATGCTAATACTTAAAGTTATTAATGATCATTAGCAATTATATCATTGCTCATAATTTCCAATAAGGCTATCAGGCATCATTTATACTAGTATCAATTCCCACCGATTCCATAACGTCATTATGTATCATCGCCGACAAGATCAATGCCCATAATTTCTAACACAAGTATCAACACACATCACCAACTTTTATATTGATATTGATAAGTTTGTCTCTGGTCACAATAAATAATATTAATGTACATCATTTACACTAACATTGGCACCTCCAATACTAATAAAGTCATCAACCGTCAATGCTAACAAATCCATTATCTGATCAACGTAATGTTGATGTCCACCATTGATACTGACACCAAAGCCCATTGTTGATACTAATACAAACTTGCTATCAATACTAACACAAACTCTCACTATCAACATCAACACTAACGCTAGCATTCAACACCAATATTGACATACATCATTTCTCTTAATATTTATGGTACATTTTTGTCCACTGGTCTCTTTTTGTTATAAGAAAAATGATCGAGCAGACCACCAACAATCTTTTGATGATAATCTCAGTACCTTAACATGCCTACTACTTCCAGCATGGAACATGTCAATGGTATTATATTAAACCTACTTCTAATTATGAGGACACTAATAAAATTATTTAAATTGATTCAAGCTCAAAAAAAAAACACATGCTTCCAATGAGGTACTCTTCTTTATCTTATATAAATACATGCATCCAAATATTTTTTTTATAGAATATTACGATGATAAACTTTCCCTATCAATTTACAGACTATTTTAATATCATATTTGTATTATTTGAAAGCTTAATTTATCTATGAAATTAATTTTAAACTATGTTTATTTCTTTTTATGAGGGCGAATCTAAAGGATAATATGAATGATTTGAACTCATGATTTGGTTTCATGATGGAAAACTACACCCTCAATTATTATTTCACAGATAAATATACTTTTTAGGCTACTATTGATGTCAGTTTATTATTTTCAGTTCTTTTAGGGTTGCAAGCAAAGAAATGTGCCTGATAGACACAAAAGTCTATGTTCGAAAGAGTCAATAAATTGAAGATGCCTACGATACATATTTTTGTATTATTAGTTATGCATGTCATATTAGTTTTGCTGAGCGGCAATGATTAATCTTAAGGGCTGTTTGATTTAACTTTTTGTTTGACATGATAAGGCTTTTTGTGACGCGGTTGTGGTCCTTGTGGCTGTCGTTCTCACCTTATTCTTCAAGCTTTTTGAACCCATAATTGCATGAATAATTAGTGAATCCACCGAATCACGAAGTTGCTTCGAAACTTCGGTCGCAATTTAAAATGTGGGTATATTCTTTCAAGTGTTCTTGGCTGAGATCTAACATTTGTGAATAAAATACTCTAGCATGACTCTCGGTGGCACAAGCTAATTGGATTAATGTTTTATCAAGATACTTAAAGAATATTTTTGCATATAATAAGTAGTTCTAGACACTTGTCTTCAATTATGACTAATATTTAAATATCACTTTAGCTACACATGAATAGTCTCATGAAGTTGATTATGGCCCCGTTTGGGGCAGCGGTGCGGCGGGGTGTGGCGGGGCGTTGCTCATTTTGCCCGTTTGGGGAGGCGGGAAGGCCGCGGCGTG